CCTAAACCCCAGTAGACCTTTACGAAGCACGCGAAACCCGAAACCCTAAGCCTTACAACGCTAAGGTGGGCGGCCTGCCCGACAGGATGAAGATGGAGGTAATTGAGCCCCTGAGGCATCGGACAATGTGGGTGTTTAGGGTTTAGGGTTTAGGGCTTGGGGTTTAGGGCTTACGGTTTGGGTTTTAGAGTCAGGGTGTAGGGTTTAGGTTCCTTGGCCTCGTGTTTAGGGTTTGGGTTCCTGGGACTTCTTTGGTTGAGGGTTTAGGGTTTCGAGGGTTGTTAGAGCTGTTGGGGCTTTCTGGTGATGAGTGCTTGTAGCTGGTCAGAGTTTTGTTTAGGGTTTAGGGTAAAGGGTTTAGGGTTTAGGGTTTAGGGTTTGGCGTGTAGGGCTTAGGGCTTAGGGCTTAGGGTTTAAGGTTAAGGGTTTCGGGTTTGGGGTTTAGGTGCTCTACGGTGGTGGGGGGGCTTGAAGGTTAGTTCAAACGTTTCCCTAGACCCAGCACCACCACCAAGAGGGAGTCTCGGGCTTTGCGTGGTAAGTAGGTAGGGAACCCTAAACCCTAAACCCTAAACCCTAAACCCTAAACCCTAAACCCTAAACCCTAAACCCTAAACCCCCCCCCCCTCAGCCCAAAGGACCAGACTGAACCCTACTCGACCATGGAAGACCTTGAGCCCTAAATCTCTCTTCAACCCTACTACTTGGAGGTTCATGGGTACTTATAACCCCACTTCTAGGGTTTAGGGTTTAGGGTTTAGGGTTTAGGGTTTAGGGTTTAGGGTTTAGGGGTTAGGGGTTAGGGTTTAGGGTTTAGGGTTTAGGGTTTAGGGTTTAGGGTTTAGGGTTATAAGTCTACTTATAACCTACTTAGTGGACTTGGGGGGTTTACAAGTACAGATATCATTGGGGTTATAAGTGCCCATGAACCTCAAGCAGCCTAGACCCGACTACCTGAGCTCCTAAACATAAACCCGGAACTCACCGTGATTCCTTGATGAAGCTACTCTGTTCCTCAGCTTTCTTGGGGTTGCCATACGGTGGTCTTTTCTTTAGCTGACCCTAAACCCTAAACCCTAAACCCAAAACCCTAAGCCCTAAACCCTAAACCCTAAGATTGGAAACCTTCAACGCTACGACGAGGCTGTTGTTCAAAGATGAGGTGCGATCGCTAGGCCGAGAGCCGCGAAGGGAGCTTGCTGTTTCCGGACTCTAACATACCAGAACCCTAAATACGGAATAGGGTTTAGGGTTTAGGGTTTAGGCTTTAGGCTTTAGGCTTTAGGGTGTAGACCAGAAGTTAACATTAAAAATGGATGTGATGTATATACTTTTGATTAGTTTTTGGATCAGCATAAGATTACTATAACCAACATGTGCGGGTTGTGGGGGGGGGTGAGCGGAGGGTTGAGGACCCAGTAGGCCTCGTGAACTCCAACTTGAAGCCTTAGTTTCTTAAGTTTAGGATTCGATCCACGTTTTTAAACCCTAAACCCTAAACCCTAAACCCTAAACCCTAAACCCTAAACCCTAAACCCCTTGGGGCTGGGGAAGGGGGAAGGTTCAAATGGAAGCCGAAGTAGGCGATGGGGGAGGGGATCCGAATTGAGAGGAACTCCGATTCAAATTTTGTGCGCGTGCTGGCACCGTATAAATTGGTACCATTAAAAGCTGTAATAAGAAAATGCCCTAAACCCAAGCCCTATAACCCCTAGACCCTACGCCCGAAGCCCTAAGCCCTAAGCCCTAAGCCCCAAGCCCTAAGCCCTAAGCCCTAAACCCTAAACCCTAAACCCAAGCCCTACAACCCCTTTACAGGAACCGTCCCGACCAGGCCTAGTCAAAGACACTCGGAGGGAGGGAGTCTCCGGTACCTTCAGGGTTTAGGGTTTAGGGTTTAGGGTTCAGGGTTCAGGGTTCAGGGTTTAGGTTTAAGGGGAAACCCGAAACGTTTAGGGCTTTCTTTCGCTTAGCAAGGGGTTTGAGGGTTCAGCCCTTAGGTTGGGGATTTGCTACTATTTGCTTAAGAACTCCAAAAGAAAAGAATATAATCATCCCTATATGACCCTTAGTAAGGAAGTTAGCACGGCGACCCACAACTTAAACAGCGGAAACACTGCGCAGCAGGCGTTCCTCAGGGAGGCATGAAGGTCGCCGTCACATGCTCATAGCAAGGAGCTCAAGAAGGTGCCCATATGCCTTTAGCAGGCAAGAGCAAAACCCTAAACTCTCAACCGAAACCCTAAACCGGGTTTAGGGTTTCGGGTTTGGGGTTGGAAGGATTGATCCCCCACTTCCGCACCCCACACCCGAAGAACCCCCACTTCTGCACCCCACACCCGAATCCATTGTCCTGAAAACCTGCAGGCAACGAGCTGGGTTTGCCGGTCACGTCCGTGCTTGGCTCAGCAAACAGCTGTGGCTAAACCCTAAACCCCAAACCCTCAACCCTAATCCCTGAACCCTAAACCCACTGTCCCAGAATCCCGCCTGTACTGTTCCTACGGACCTGCTATTCAGGGCCCGAGACCCCCTATTCCTGCCTTATTCTCTTTCGGGAGCTGCTCGCTTAAGCAAGCAGTCCCTGCTAAAGACACCTAGAGCCCTCAAGCCCTAAATGCTAGACCCCACCCCCACCCAAAAGCCGAGTCTAGCACCTACAAGTTAGGGTATAGGGTTTAGGGTTTAGGGTTTAGGTTTCTGCCGTGGACTTAGATCCCTCACATTGAGCTCATTTGCTCAGGGGGGAGGGGGTGCGCCTTATTGTCTTCATATTTAGGTAAATGTGAAACCGCCTCCAGTCGCCCCTCCCGAGCGTTTACGACATTTCGGGCGTTTTCAGGGCTCCAGGGACAGTTCTTCTTAAAGTTTGGTCTTAAAAGTTCAAGGGTTGAGGATGTCGGGACATTTACCACCTTAGTATTCGTACTGTCACCTCACTCGCTCTTGTTAATCCATTGTGAGGGAGTTCTCGCTCACCAGACGCACCAGGAAATGCCATAGTTTCATGTGAATGTTGTTAATACCGTGAGCCCGCGAACACGAAGTCGCTAACCGTGTAAACGAGAATTCGAAGTCACCTTTAATATCGTATGCGTGATCACAATGAAAGATGTCTTTCATCACGTGATGGAAGTAAGCTCGTATTTCGTTCGCACGCGCATATAATATTATCCACGCGCTCACTTGTAACAGTATTTGCGCGTATTCTCTTCATATGATTAGGGTTTAGGGTTTAGGGTGTAGGGTTTAGGGTCGGCCCAATGTTAATAGTATATGGGCCGTGCGAACACCAAGCTCCACGGACTCCTTGTTGTGGGCTTAGGGCTAGGGTTTATAGGGTTTAGGGTTTAGGGTTTAGGGTTTAGGGTTTAGGGTTTAGGGTTTAGGGTTTAGGGTTTAGGGTTTAGGGTTTAGGGTTTAGGGCTAGGGTTTACAGAGACCGCAACCCCTTAGCCCCTAAACCAGACCTCAATCCCGAACCCCAAAACCGGTAGAAGCCCCATCAACCCCCAAACCCTAAACCCCAACTACTCGAAACCCGACCTCCTACCCTAAACCCGGATACTTGGGATTATATTTTTAATTTTGCATGGGCATTAAAGCTCCGAAGAAGCGGCTAGAATTACACAATTTCTGCTGCTGCGTATTGCATCTTTACTACTTTGAACTTTTTTAGTCCGTATCTACCTACGTAGCTCCTACATTGCCCCATAAGATCCCTTGACCCTAAACCCCTAAACCCTAAACCCCAAACCCTATAAACCCTATAAACCCTGTAAACCCTATCAACCCTATAAACCCTAAACCCTAAACCTAAATAAACCCTGAACCCTGGACCCGAAACCCTAAACCCGAAACCCTAAACCCTAAACCCTAACCCTAGACCTTAAACCCCTGTTTGGCAAGGTGATGCGACATCCGTTCCCTGGACCGGGGCTTGGCATCCGGATTATCGGCGAGGTGCGATGGCCCTGCACGGAAGCCAGGCAAGCTGTGACACACGGCTTAGGGTTTAGGGTTTAGGGTTTTTGGGGTTAGGGTTCAGGGTTCAGGGTTTATAGGGTTTAGGGTTTAGGGTTCCCCCCGACCCCCCCCCCCCCGCCCCCCCCGCAGCGCCTCTATTACATTGGCACATGTTCTTATTCTTCAAGTTCCGCCATACAAGCGGTCAAGGTCTTGGAACTGAACATGTTGTGGGCCAATGTTGCCAGAAAGCTCCAGCCGGTTCAGATCCCACCGAGACTACCCGACAGAGTGCCTCAAAGGCAACATAAGACGGGTAGACTTCACATGCAGCGCGCAACCCTACTCATACAAACAAGCGGGGTGCATATTCGGAAGAACCCTAAACCCTAAACCCTAAACCCTAAACCCTAAACCCTAAACCCTAAACCCTAAACCCTAAACGCCCTAAACCCTCCAAGTAGCCATGGGCCCCCGCCGGCCGACTCGCCTGTGGGCCCTGCTGCTGCTGGCCCTTGCCGTGCCGCCCCCGGAATTTGAGGAATTCTGAGGTGACTCATACACAACCTAAGGGTTTAGGGTTTAGGGTTTAGGGTGTAGGGTTTCGGGTTTAGGGTTTAGGGTTTAGGCTGAGTTGTGCTTGGGGATAATTGTTAGTTTCCTTTCCTTCCTTACAATATCTTACAATGGAGTCTATTCACGAGTAATTTTCAAAGGGTTCAAAGCACAACTCAGCAGTGACCCCAAACCCTGTACCTTGTGATGTAACCCTAAACCCTAACCCTAAACCCTAAACCCTAAAGCTTTCCCTCAATTAGGGAAACAAAGTCATGAGGCTGCGGACTTGAACGCAAAAACTCTGGGTTTTGACGAGTTTTGCTGCATTCCCTAAGTATCAAAGTATAAGATTCTTGTGGTCCCCTTGGATTGAGGGCGGGGGGAGGGAGGGGGAATGCAGATTTGGGCTGGTGCGCAGCTGTGGCTTATAGCACGCTTTACTGCGGCCCAGAAGTGTGCGCGTGGCGGTTCCCACCATGGGCCGAGCTACCACTTCGCGCCAGGATGCAAGGTGTGCTCGCGCCCGGCGCTTGGTGCGTTTGGGAGACACGCTGCCAAGGATCGCCTGCCTTGCCGCCATGTTCCTGGTTCTCTTCAGCCTCTCCCTGATCTTGGGCCCGCAGGAGCCGACCTACGACCATGCACACAATGCACCTTTGCCATAGTGGGGTAACTTTTCTTACGTTTTTAGGGGTACAGTACCTAAAAGTCAATGAGGAAAACTCAATAAGGAATAGAAATCCAAATTTTTCAATAGTTACCATCCTGACCATGAACTAGGCACGGACTTGCTCCATCTGCAGCGGTCGGCCGCTGCTTGGGTTGAGAAGTTTCGGTGGGTTGGTTCTAGGACTTTCGGTCGTCATGCTCACGCTGAAGCACCAGATCCTGCCACGAGTCGTTGCTCCGGGCCAGTTCGAGGCTGCTTAGTAGCTGAATCAGAACACTTTGCACTTTTTAGGATACTATAATCCCTATAGAACTGGATGTGTACACTTGTTAACTAAGGCTGGGTTCTGTTTGGGCAAGTACTACGGCTTCGGTGCGCAGATCCTCTACCACTGCGTGCTGGCCGTCTGCTTCCTCGTGGCTTCCTGTACCCGGTCGCCCGCTTTGTACCACGTGGCAACCTTGGCCGAGCCCGCCTACTGCACGCTGGATGTACCTATAACCTCCTAGGGAATTATTTTTGTTTTTTTATATAAACCCAAGAGGATATTTACAATTGTTTGTTTTATCAAGGTTGTAAGGGAAGTATAGGTACTTCTGCTGCTGTGCACCGGTGTCTCCTTCACCCACTGGCAGGCGAGAGCTCTAGACCTTCAACTTGCTTGCTTTGCTGGGGATATGGGGGGTTCACGATATGAGTGGTATATTGGGGTCCTCATTCTAAGGGGATCCTACACCCTAAACCCTAAACCCTAAACCCTAATCCCTAAACCCTAAACCCTAAACCCTAAACCCTACTATTTGGGGGTCTATATTATGGGTCCCTTATTATTGAAAACCGTGCTGGTTGCTGCTGGCATCCATGGGGGCCTAGTAACTTCCACCTGAAGCTGTGAAGCTGTGAGAGCCTAAACCCTAAACCCTAAACCCTAAACCCTCAACCCTCAACCCTCAACCCTCAACCCTCAACCCTCAACCCTCAACCCTCAACCCTCAACCCTCAACCCTCAACCCTCAACCCTCAACCCTCAACCCTCAACCCTCAACCCTCACCCCTCAACCCTCAACCCTCAACCCTCAACCCTCAACCCTCAACCCTCAACCCTCAACCCTAAACCCTAAACCCTAAACCCTAAACCCTAAACCCTAAACCCTAAACCCTAAACCCTAAACCCTAAACCCTAAACCCTAAACCCTAAACCCTTCCTGCACTTTTTGCTTCATGCTGACCAGGCCCTCCCGCTCTTGGTGCACCACACGATCTCCTGTGCCTGCACCCACGCCTTGATGTACGGCCTGCCGGAATCCATCTTCGGGCTCCTGTTCCTTGGGGAACGAGCCCTAAATAGGGTTTAGGGTTAGGGTTTAGGGTTTAGGGTTTAGGGTTTCGGGTTTGGTGTTTAGGGTTTAGGGTTTAGGGTTTAGGGTTTAGGGTTTAGTCCATCTTCGGGCTTCTTTTCCTTGGGGAACGAACGCTAAAACGGGCCTTAAAGTACTTCATATATAGGGAATTTGGGGCCCAAGTATGTATTGAGAAGTGCTAGGGATCAGGATCATATGTACCCTGTTGTTGGGTTAGGGTTCAGGGTCTTTGGGTCATACATACCCTCGTACTCGTAGAAGCCGTATTATGGTATACGAAGCAGAAACCGTTCAGGTTGCAGCTGGTGTTCCATGCCTCCAGCGCCGTGTGCCTGGGTATCGCCAACGCTCAAATGACTCCGAGCCTCAAGCTCCTGGGTAGTCCAGTGGTGCCCTTGACCCGTAGGGTTTAGGGTTTAGGGTTTTGGGGTTTAGGGTTTAGGGTTATGGGCTCCCTTGTAAAGTAGCCAACCCACACAAGGGGTGCCCCTTATTGACTAATATGGTTGCTGGGCTACCAAGGCTCACGTCCCAAGAGAGGCTGTCAATGCAGAGCCTGTCCCTGGAGATTTGGGCACTCACACGCGCTTCTAGGTAGGCTCTTGGGATATTTTCATATTTTTCCTAGGTTTCTGGGTTTAGGGTTTAGGGTTTAGGGTTTTTAAGGATTACATGTTTCCGAATGGGCCATCTTAGGTTTGCTTCGTCTTCTGCTTGGCCCTTTGCCTTCTGTCGGAGGCTTGGTAGTCCAGAAGTTCGGACCTTTTGCCAAAATTTTGGGTTCAAGGTTCCCATACAAAGTAACCAAGCCCCAAAAAGGTTTAGGGTTTAGGGTTTAGGGTTTAGGGTTAGGGCTTCTGTTTTGGGGTCTAGGGGTGCCCTCATTACATGTTGGTTGCTGGGCTACCAAGGAGGCTGCGCAGCTTTCGAACCGGCATGTTGTCATGGTGGAGCTGAGCATCTTACTCTTGGTTAGTAGGGAATGAGGGAATGAGGCGCCGTATATCCCCCTATACATATGTATACCCTTTAAGGGATTAAATATGGCACTTTAAACCCTAAACCCTAAACCCTAAACCCTAAACCCTAAACCCTAAACCCTAAACCCTACTAACCCACAGTAAGGCATGGCGCATTTGGGGTCCTTTGCCTTTGTCATCCTCAAGACGCCAATCCTCACCCATGCTCTGCGGGAGGCGATGCAGCTAGGACCCGCAAAAGGTTTAGGGTTTAGGGTTTAGGGCTTAGGGTAACTAGGACCCCAAAATAGGCCCTTATTTCCCTTTTTTTAGGGTTCAGGCTCCTTATAAGTCCTCTTGAAACCAAGAAGGGCACCCTGGTTTATTCCTAGGTTACTCTTGGGTCAAGGCAAGATTACATCTCGGAGCACGTGCATCACAACATGCACAAGGTGGTGGTGGCGTTGCACGACGTGGAAATTGGCTTGCAAAGCTCACAGCTCAACGTCGTAAAAGTGTCCTCATGAGACTATTCTTTCATAAACATTGTCATCATCATCCTATGACTATTATGATGATGTTCTACGAACCTCCCCCCCCCCCCCCCCCCCCCAGACTTCGTGCACGGCGCGTGGCGCGAAGTCAGGGACTGCTCGCGGATGTTTTGCCCACCTGTGGCACTCTTCATCTGGTGAGCGGCTTGCACAGGTGCGATGCAAGGTATGACATCTTGTACAGTGCACAGGAAGTTGTGGGACCCTAAACTTCAACCCTATATCGGGGCCTTCGAGAGCACGACTGAGTCGAGCGCATATTCCTATGCCAAGGCGCCTTCTGCTGTAGACAGGCTGCCGAGCTCCTCTTGGTAGCCCAGTGGTACCCTTTACCCGTCATTTTGTGATCATGGGTTCCCTACAACCCAAAGAAAAGGGTGCCCCTTATTGTAATATGTTTGCTGGGCTGCAAAGATACTGTACAGCCTCGAAGATCCCAAAGGGACGCTTGCCCAGCCTCGGAAAGAAGTGCGGTTTAGGGTTTAGGGTTGAGAGTTTAGGGTTTAGGGTATAGGGTTTATGTTTAGGGTTTAGGGTTTAGGCTTTAGGGTATCGGGGTCGAGGAGCTTCAAGCGGCATCCTCCAGTTGTGCACACCACACACTTTCGAGACCTCCGACAACCTCAATGCCCACAACCCCAACCCCTAAACCCTAAATCCTAAACCCTAAACCCTAAACCCTAATCCCTAAACATTAAACCCTAGACCCTAAACCCTAAACCCTAAACCCTAAACCCTAAACCCTAAACCCTAAACCCGAGGTGCAATCCGCGGTCCGAAGCTTCGTGCTGGGAGCCTCCGCCCCGAAGCCGGCGCGGCTGCATTGGTCTTGCCGTACTAGGGCTTAGGGTTTAGGGTTTAGGGTTTGGGGTTTAGGGTTTAGGGTTTAGGGTTTGGGGTTTAGGGTTTAGGGTTTAGGGTTTAGGGTTGAGGGCTTAGGGTGTAGGGTTTAGGGTGTAGGGTTTATAGGGTTCATGGGGTTTATAGGGTTTATAGGGTTTAATAGGTTTAATAGGGTTTGTAGGGTTAATAGGGTTTTGAGGGTTTATTGGGTTTAGGGTTTAGGGTTAGGGATCTGCCTGCCCACGCTTTAAGGCTAGTCACCCCCCCGAACCCACAAGAACAAAACCCTGGACCCTGCTCGGAGGTTCATGGGCTGTTACGAGTGTGACTCTAAGCAGGGCAACTATATTTATAACCATGCTCAGTGTATCCCTACTTATGACACCCCTAACCCCAATACCCACAGAAGTATTTTATACAAGTGGGCTTTTATTCTGGGGTCGGGGGAGTAGTGAAGGCGGAGTATGGGATCCTATGTGGGGGAGAAAGTTTCATGTGCAAGGCCCCAGGGTAGAGACACGATCCTAGGTTTGGAGTCGCAGCTAGGTAGGGCTTTCGCTTGGGGCGGAGATTTAGGGCTTGCGGCTTCGGGTTTAGGGTTTAGGGCTTAGGGCTTACGGCTTGGGGTTAACACCCTAAACCCTAAACCCTAAACCCTAAACCCTCGAGCTTGTGTCAAGACAAGCGCTGTCGTTCTCTGTTCGGGCCAAGAGGGTTGGGTTCAGCGTTCGAGGGTTTGGGGCCTTGGGGCCAAGAGGCCTGGCTGCAATAAGCCCAATGGACCCCAGCCAGGGGTCACCCTAAACCCTGAACCCTAAACCGTAACCCTAAGCCCTAAAGAGGAAGGTGTCGATTGACAAGCAAGGCATTGACGGCCTGAAACTTTCAGCTCCTACCTGCGCAATCCTGAGCCCTACACCTTGAATCCAATTTGCCCTCAACCCCCATACCCGTAAGCCCTTACCCCCCCCCCCCCCAAACAAAAAAAAAACACAGAAAAACACCAAAAAGCTATAAACCCTGAACCCTAAGCTAAGCTCTTTGCACCCCAATGCCCCTCAACTCCGACCCCCGACCCTCAACTTGAAAACCCCTAGAAGTCCAATGTTCCTCATTCTTATATACTCGGTGGTGCTTTGCTGTAACTTTAGATCAGCCGTTTTGGGCTTATTGGGTTTCTTAATAAGGCAGCTAAAATTAAATTTATAGCTACCCTGCTAAGTGCAGCCAAGTATACTTGGGGGGGCATCCCAAGTCCCTATGTAGGAAGTACTTATAAGGCCCAGGTCTTCCCCATTTCGGTACATGGACCCTCAAGGCGACCCTAAACCCTAAACCCTAAACCCTAAACCCTAAACCCTAAACCCTAAACCCTAAACCCTAAACCCTAAACCCTAAACCCTAAACCCTAACCCTAAACCCTAAACCCTAAACCCTTCTGCGGCCCAACATGCAAGGCGAAAAGCCGGCTGGGCACTGGCCGCAGAGGAAGCTCCCAAGGAGCCCGTGGTCGCAGAAGGACTCCCGAAACCCTAAACCCTAAACCCTAAACCCTAAACCCTAAGGCCAAAACCCTAAACCCTTAACCCTAAACCCTAAACCCTGAACCCAGAAACCTAAGAGGAGCTCCCAAGGAGTCCCTGGCCATCGTCAAGGCTGAGGAGGTCCGGAGTGTCTGTGCAGACAGAAGGTGCATACGAAGAAATTAATATCAATGAGTGAGACTAAGACATGTAAATAAAAACTAAATAATATAAATATAAATATAAATATAAATATAAATATAAATATATATATATATATATACACACATGTATACATATATATACATACATATATATATATAGACATATATATATATATATATATGTATATACATGTATACATATACGTATGTATACATATATTGGTGTCATCTGGGCATTGAGCTTCCATTTCTAGGTCAGTCCTGTTGGCACAGGCAAACGCTCAATTAAGGGCGGGCAAGGGGGGGGAAGCGGGGGGGGTTCCTCGATTCTAGATCTGATCCCCTCTGACTGACAGGGAAGGCCGGGTTGGGTGCCGTTTAACCCCTAAACTCCCTGAACCCCTACTGACTGGTTCGTGGTAGGGACATTGGTGGTTACGTTACTTCCACTGTCCCTTATGTTCGTATGCTTAGTACTGACATACAAATCCGGCGACTTTGTTCTTCTCTATACCTAACTCTTGCTTTGCACATACATACATACATACATACACACATACATACAGAACACAACATTCCATGACATTGCGTGGCATGGCGTCGCATGGCATTGCATGGCATGGCATTGCATTGCATACCTCTCTGTATAATAGATTTCCTCATCACGGGCATATCCTGCCGAAGCCTCCACCGCTGGTCGGAAACCTCGTAGCCGACCCTAAACCCTAAACCCTACACCCTAAACCCTAAACCTCCGCCTGGCAGGTCGGAAACCTCGTAGCCGATGACGAGTGGCTGGGCCTTGGCATAGAGCTGGGCATCGTGCTGCGCAGCGCGGCGCCAGGGTCATGGGGTTTGGGATTGGGGTTTAGGGTTTGGGGTTTTGGGGTTTAGGGTTTAGGGTTTCGGGTTTAGGGTTCATGTAGGGTTTAGAGATTGGGGTTTAGGGGTTTTGGTGGATTAGGGTTTCGGGGTTCGGGGGTTAGGGCTGAAAGGGCGTTTGGCGCTGGTGGTTGCAGTTGCTTTTTTCGGGGGTGGGGTTTGGTGGGGTTAGCGGTCGTCTGATTTTTCTGCAGGGTGCTAGGTTCCAATTCGACGGCGGCTACCCTGTATTATCTGTATTTAAACTCGGCTACTCGGCTACTGGGGAGCCCTTACCATCCACTGCTGGCTTCGTAGACCCTGGACCGGAACCCTAAACCCTCAACCCCCAAACCCTAATACCCCTAAGCCCTAACCCTCTATACCCTACCCCCCCGAAACCCGCCCCTAAACCCGAAGCCTCTATACCCCTAAACCCTGCACCCCTCCAACCCTGAAAGGTGCGAGAAAGCATCAAGGGCCGAGTTCGGGACTTCATCGGCAAAGACAGCTACGCCCCTCTGGCCTGAAGGTTCACAACTACGGTCAGCAGGTTAAACCTCATTCCTTTGTGGTGGGTAACTTCAGAGCCTTTGCCTATTTGGGTTTATTGGGATTCTGAATACTGCCGCTAAAAAAATTTTGCTACCCTACTAAGTGCAGCCAAGATTCCGATAAAAGGGGTTGAATGGTTTAGGGTTTAGGGTGTAGGCTTTAGGGTTTAGGGTTTAGGGTTTAGGGGTTGTGGAGAAGCAAGGGAAGTGGCGCTCCGTGTTTGGGGGGCCGGGCCTTTTCCTCGAGTCCTCGGGGAGGTTTTTGGATTCCCCGAGATTGGGGCGAGGCCCAGTGAAGTATTCCTAAACCCTCAACCCTCAACCCTAAACCCTAAACCGATCACAGGGAACATCTAGGCATGTTTTGAGCTTTTGACAGGGACAAAGAGAGGCCCGAATCCTTCAAGCATTGGTTTAGTCACCCTAAACCCTAAACCCTAAACCCTAAACCCTAAACCCTAAACCCTAAACCCGGATGAACTTTATCCACGATTCTAGTCGGGGATGGCGAAGAATTTCGACCCGCACCCCAGGTACACCCTAATACGGGTTCACATGGGTTTGGGTAGTCCAAGCCTCAACCACTCAAGCCCTCATCTCTACCTTAGACGCCCAAGGTTGTACCTTTACCCTGTGAACCCTGGAACCCTGCAAACTCAAAACCCTTAAGCCCTGAGACCCCCAACCCTTCGGAAAACCAGACGACTTGTAGGACCCAGAGAGGCCCTTATTAAATTTGTTAAAGGGTTTAGGTTCCCGTTTTTTTTAGTCCCTTTAACACCAAGAAGGGTATGTACCCTTCGATTCCTAGGCTACTCTTGGGTCGCCCTAAACCCTAAACCCTAAACCCTAAACCCTAAACCCTAAACCCTAAACCCTAAACCCTAAACCCTAAACCCTAAACCCTAAACCCTAAACCCTAAACCCTAAACCCTATTCTTTTCTAGGTCACTCTTGCGTCTCGACTTGTTGCGAGGAGTTCGGCGACCTCAGCAAGGAGGCCGATGCTCGAGTGAAGGTGGGGCCGGGGAGGGCAAGTGAGGCTTAGGGTTTAGGGTTTCGGGTTTAGGGTTTAGGGTTTAGGGATAGGGTTTCGGGTTTCGGGTTTTGGGCTTCGAGGGTTTAACCCCAACTAGCGGGCTGAACTCTTCGCAAGCGGGCGTGAGGCTTTTTAAATTTGGATTGCCCCTTTCAGACTGAGACCCACTGAGAGCTGCATGAACACTTCTCTTAGGACCCGGAGTAGGCCCTTGTTTTTTTGTTTATAAAGGGTCGGGGTTCCCTTATAATCCCCTTAAAATCAAAGGCTACCCGTTTCATTCCTAGGTTACTGCTGGGTCTAGTCTCTAAAATCATACTCGGATTCCTTTTTTGTGGCTGCCGGGTATGGGATGCCTACAATCGGGACACGAGGGAAACAGATCATGTGGCGCTTATCGTTATTTGTTGTTGGGTTTCCGGGGATGATTGAGAGTCTAGGGCCTAGGGTAAAGGATATGTATATACAAAAAAATGTATCCAGGAAAGAGATGTTTTGTAAACCTCGAATGGTTCTCGAAACCAGAGTTACCAATCCAAATCTGTCCAGACGCTTTACCAATCCCCAAGCCCAGCAGTTCGGAAGCAGGCGGTGATTGCGGACATGCGTGGGAAGGAGCGCCCCGGTTGGATGGCCATGAATCAAAGAGGAGGGGGGTCTTCTTTCCTTAATTATACCCCATCATTCGACACCACAAGCCATTGTTTGTTTGTGAATGCCGCCAAAAAAACTTGATGCCATAAACCCCAAGATCCTATGTACCCTAGCTACCTCGGGTGCCCCCTCCCCCCCACCTCCCCCCACCAGAGAGTAGGGCTTCAGGCTTGACTTGGAGGTTCAGGGTACTTAGAAACCCACTTACTTAGTTGCTGAGTGAGTACACTTTACCCTTTTTTGGGATGAACTGAAGGTGCACACTTTTTGGGGGGCTTCTGAGGTCAGCAACTAAGCTTATAAGTGTAGTACAACCGACTGAGAAGCCCTTTAAGTACCCTCATAGGGTTAGAATCGGGGTACAAGTACAGCTATAATTGGGTTCCTAAGTACTAAGCTTATAAGTGTAGTATAACCGACTTCTAAGCCACTTAAGTACCCTAATAGGGCTAGAATCGCTGAACCTCCAAGTAGGGGTCAGTATACAGGGGTTCGTGTCTTGGGGCTTGTGGGGTTTAGGCTTCAGGCTTGCCGGGTCAGTGGTTCAGGGTTTAGGGTTTAGGGGTTCAGGGGTTCAGGGTTTAGGGTTTAGGGTTTAGGGTTTAGGGTTTAGGGTTTAGGGTTTAGGGTGTGGGGGTTCAGGGGTTCAGGGGTTCAGGGTGCAGCTCTGAGGTCTTCAGCTCTGGGTCTTTGTGAGGAGCTTTTGCTGACACTATCGCTCTTGAGCCCGAAGCCCACACAGGGGTTTAGGGTTTAGGGTTTAGGGTTTAGGGTTTAGGGTTTAGGGTTTAGGGTTTAGGAGCCAAGGAATTACGAACTTGGCGACCTGACCCTGGCTCTCGATAACATCGTCAAGGACGAAGTCTGCCGACTCTCTGGCAAGGACGGCATGGGGAGGGGAAGAGGGGGGTTGTTGGGGCACATATGGGGACTTGGGGCTTGTCGGGGGTTTAGGGTTTAGGGTTTAGGGTTTAGGGTTTAGGGTTCAGGGTTCAGGGTTTAGGGTTTAGGGTTCTGCATCTCAAGTTCAGGCATCAACTGGTTAAGTTCGCGACTGGGGTTCTAGCCCTTAGGCCTCAAAGCGCTCCCGAGCCTTTCCCGATTTTGGGCCTTGCCCACTCTTTCTTCCTTAGGGCCCTACACCTTAAACCTTAAAGCGCCCGCCTCAAGTTCTTTCGCTCTACAAATTCGGGAAGCTTACGGGTCGTCAGGGGCCTTAGGGCTCTTAGAGACTTACGGGTCTTGAGCGCGCAAGTCCCTGGACATCTGAGCTGGACAGAAGTTTCCAGACCCTTTTGGCTCTTTTATGTGTAGCGAGCCTTCGTCCATCTTGCTTTTACCACTAGAAGCAAGTTTTCCGTACAAGAAGGAAGACTGCGGAAACATTCGCAACGTTCGAGCTCTTAAGCCCACGCGAAAACGCAACCAACACGCCCAAAAAAGCGGCCATGCGCTGCCTTGCACTGCTGGCCTGCGTCGCAGATATATCATCTGATGAGAGCGGAGCGCACATGACCCGCGCAGATGAAACTCGCTACGCAACAGGGCTTCTGCTGGCCGCGCAATGCACGAAACGATCGAGTCTGCGTGAATTATAAGACCGTGCCTTGCATATTTTCTAGGTGCCCCATCGGCCGGGACCGTGTAGCCTGGGCCTGGTGCCGAGTACAGCTCCCAGTGTAGTGGAGATTTCAAGCTTTGCAAAAACAAGTGCAGCGAAAGAGTCTTACTTCGCATATGCAGAAGTTTAGCATCAGATGAACGAAGCAGATCCCGGCGGCTGGCAGAGACTTGCTGCGCACGTGTTGAGACATTTCTGCGAAGTGCTTCGGCTCTCTGCTGTGGGATTGCAGCCGAATCTCGCGCGTTGTGCAAAAGGGTGCAAGTGCTGGCGCGTGCTTAGAGATTACGGCGCAATGTCCCCAGAAAAGTACACTAGCTCTTCTCACTCAATATCAGGAGGTGGACTGATCCCACGTCGTAGCTCGGAGGCCGATCCACCTTTGGTAGATCGGACCCCCCAGGGTGGGTTGGGTGGGCACTTTGAAATTGCCCCCCAATCCATTGGGGCTTCATAGCCAAAATGGCCACGTCATTTTCGGTGGCTTTCATTTAGCTCCCCATCAATCTGGTTTTCAACTCAAGAACATAGACTCAATTTCAAAGGTAGCTCAGTCTCTGAGCTTTCTCCCTGTGTTTCCTAGCTGTCCCCGGAGCCTTAACTACGGGGTCTTAGCCAACAGGCCTCTACAAACACCTTCCCCTAGAATCCTCATTTTGGCTGGAACCAGGGCAGAATGAAGCGCTTCGCGGCTTCGGGCTTGACACACCTCACCAACCTGTCCAAGCCTAAAGGTGCACAACCAAGCTGCTGCTGCCAAGCAACGACGGGCCGTAATAAAGCGTCGGACCAAAGCCAAAGCCACCTCCGCCAAATGAGTCTCCACCTCTTCGTCGGTCATCGCGGTCCTGCCAAAAAAGCTGTGGCACTCCGATTCCACGGAATTGATGGATGTCGTAACAAGCTGGATCAAGGCAGTCAAAACAACAGATTAGCAGTTCGAGGTGGCTGCTCGTTGTGAATCCGTCTTCATTTTCCAATGATGATGTTGGGCGAACTCTGCAAACTTGGGGGGCTGCAACGGAAACAACGCGGGCGAAGTGTAGAGCCAACTTCACGAGACACCTGGACAGAGCGCTAGTCTACGCTGTCTGTGTGCGCGTGCATGCACGTGCCTGCATAGAAGCACACTGGCCGTGTCATTCTCAAACTCATCGGCTGGACGACACTGTTGCAAGGGCCTCGCTAGCTTGAAATGCCATCACGCGCGATCGTAATCAGGCGCGCTCTAGCCGCTGGTGACCTGCGCAGCACAGCCTGCACGGGCACTCGGTGCATGCAGCCAGCGTTGGCAGCTGAAAGAGTTTTGTCTCCATGTTGCACATCCTTCAGGATCACGTGGCCGTGGCGGGGATCGCAATCACCGGGCTGATGCTGGCGCGTAAAGGTTGATAATGTTGACTTCGCATTAATAAACCCCCCCCTTGATTGATCAATCTCTTCGGCCAGGGCCTCCTCAATTATATTCGCCTAAATCAGCAAACAAACGGTTCGGTTCGGTTACGGTTTCTGTTTCTGCGGTTCGGTTCGGCGGTTCCGGTTTGAGCGACGGTTCCGGACGGTTCGGTTCGCGGTTCGCACGGTTCCACAAAAAACCTCACACCCTGAGCCACCCTAAAACCCCAAGCCCAAAGTCCCCTCACGAGAGAAGAGAAGAGTAGCGTAAAGCACTTCGCGAGAAACACTTGGACACGCTCAGGCGGTCTTGAACGCCTGACGCCCGCCGACCTCCCAAATACGTACCTTTTTTGGGTCTTTCGCCGTGAAGGGCACGTATTTCGGAGGTCGGGCCCCCCCCCCCCCCGCCCGCTGACCTCCGTACCTTTTTTGGGTCTTTTTGGGCCTGAAAACGCTGTAAAGGCACGTATTTTGAGGTCGGGCCGTTCCCGGACCGGAACCCCCCCCCCCCCCACCAACCTCCCAAATACGTACCTAAATACGTACCTTTTTTGGGTCTTTTGGGCCCTGAAAACGCCGTAAAGGGCACGTATTTCTTAGGTCGGGCCGTTCCCGGACCGGACCCCCCACCTTTTTTGGGTCTTTTTAGGCCTGAAAACGGCGCAAAGGGCATGTATTTCCGAGGTCGGGCCGTTCCCGGAACGGACCCCCCCCCCCCCGCCCGCCGACCTCCCAAATACGTACCTTTTTTGGGTCTTTTAGGCCTGAAAACGCCGTAAAGGGCACGTATTTCGGAGGTCGGGCCGTCCCCCCCACCGACCTTTTTTGGGTCTTTTTAGGCCTGAAAACGCCGTAAAGGGCATGTATTTCCGAGGTCGGGCCGTTCCCGACCCGACCCCCGCCCGCCGACCTCCCAAATACGTACCTTTTTTGGGTCTTTTTGGGCCTGAAAACGCCGTAAAGGGCACGTATTTCGGAGGTGGGGCTGTTCCTTTTGGGCTTGAAAACGCCGCAAAGGGCACGTATTTCTTAGGTCGGGGGGAGTTCCCGGACCGGACGCCCCCCCCGCCCGCCGACCTCCCAAATATCCTTTTTTGGGTCTTTTTGGGCCTGAGGGCATGTGTCGGGCCGTTCCCGGACCGGACCCCACCCCCCCGCCCGCCGACCTCCCAAATACGTACCTTTTTTTGGGTCTTTTTGGGCTTGAAAACGCCTGAAAGGGCACGTATTTCTTAGGTCGGGCCGTTCCCGACCGGACCCCCCCGCCCGCCCGCCGACCTCCCAAATACGTACCTTTTTTGGGTCTTTTTGGGCCTGAAAACGCCGTAAAAGGGCACGTATTTCGGAGGTCGGAGGTTCGAACCCTAAACCCTATAACTTTAAACCCTAAACGGGTGGCAAAAAAAAAAGCCCTAAACGAAATAAGAAAAAAGCGTGCCGTTACGGCTTTACGTCCTTTTCCAGGTTCAAGTGACCCCAAAAAGGGTCGGGGGTGGGGCGGCTCGAGAAAATGGGACGCAAAACAAGGAAGGGAACCTTCCCCTTCTTCATGAGGCCACTCTCGAAATGCATACCCTTCAGAGCCTAGGAATGTTTGGTCCTGGGCTCAAATCCCTTCAGCCCAACCCTGATAAAAAATAGGAACCTTTTACGGTTCGGTTTCTATTTCGGTTCGGTTCGACGGTTCCGGTTTTACTATTCGGTCCGCAGGTTCCGGTTCTGACGGTTCCGGTTCCACGGTTCGCGGTTCGGTTCCTTCGCTTCCTGCTAAATCCTGGTAGGACGTACTATTAGTTTTAAGCTAATTACATAACATCGCCCGTAAGAAAAATTCCGGGCTGGATTTTATAATTGTGGGGGGTTACATTATTGTGTTCCGGCAGCTGGATTTTATAATTGTAGCGGGAATCATTAATGTGAAGTCAACATTAATTGCGACAGGCCCACGGAATTCGTTGATAGCGCGAACAGTCTCATCGGTGTTTCGTGCGTGTACGGGCACGCAGTGGATCCAAGAAGTCTTGAAGTCGTACATAACAATGGCATTGTTCTCCCCCTTGATTCCCAGATCTTTGCTATTGCGAAGCACGATGGTGTCAGCAGTAACTCTATCGCCAAATCTTTCGGTGTCTCGTTCGGTTATACCGTCTCCCCTTCGATATGGCACGTTGTTAACTTTCGCTTGTCTACACGCAATTACGTGCCAAAATTGGCTTGACTGCCAAGGTGAGCTTCACAATGAGCAGGTTGGAACACAAGGAACTCATCTGCACACTTCTTACACAGTTTCCGCACATGGTCCGCCCGCGTGTCCCGCAGCATCGTTTTTATTTGTTCATCATTTGAGGAATCCAACACTTTTTACTCAGTGCTTGCACTGGAAGTTCGGCCGGCAAAGAGGGAGAAAAAGGGAAACCTACAGTGTGGGGCCCCCGAGAGATAAATGAGATAAGATACTTATATGTAGGTGCAGACACTCATAACTAAGTTATCCTGTAAGTTTGGTAAGTTAGTTAGCCAACTTATAAGTTAACTTATATGATACAATCTGTTGCTTTTTACCAACACTCTCAAGGAATCATCATTGCCGAGGTCATGTGTTTCAAAAACAGCAGATTTTCCCCAACTATGTAAATCCTGAACCCGTTCAGCCCAGTCCTGCTCATATAGTTGTGTGCGTAGGTCACCCCTCCTTGCCAAAGCCTCTGCAGCGAAAAGGAGGTGTCTATGAGTCGATAGGAGAGAAAAGGGTTTCTCTTAGTGCCCGCCAGCAGCCCAGGGAACCCTCGCGAGCCGGAGAAATGGTCGCGCGCGCACGTTCGCCGCGCGTCCGGGACACATCGCTGTGGAAACTCCCCGAGACAAAAAACCTAAAACAAATTTTCGCTTCAACCGCAAACCGTGCAAAACCCAAGATTTGAGGATCGGATACAGATCTGATGACAACACTGTTTTTCAGCTAAGTTGTATACTCTAAGTTGGGAACCAAAAAGATACAACTAACTTATATCTTTAAAAACTTTTTTAACTAAACCATGAACTTAAAAAACTTACAATGTGTTAGGAAAACTTTAAACTGATTTGTAGAGGCCACAAATCAGTTCATGACGGGGGGACCAGCTTCAAGAGGATAGGAGGTCTGGGGCAGAGTGGGCTGTTTGAGACAGTGAAATGATAGACTGCCCGGGAAAACTTCTTCCCCTAACCCCACAAAAGAAAGAACGAAAGACCGGGGCTACACGGTGTTCGCTGCGCTTCTGAACCTGGTCTGAACCTGGAACTTCAAGAAGAATAGCACCAGCACGAAGAATGGTGGAAGCAGCTACAGCACGACCCGAGTTGACGTATTTCGCACTTCTTGCGGGCTCCAGCCCGAATCCTACCCAAACATTCCAGCTTCTTTGCAATTCTTGCTCATCATGGTTCACCGCGCCCGGGTGACGAGCATATGTCATTGGTCCATTCGTTGAGCGATGAGAGGAAGAAGAGGCTCGGGAGGAACCAAAAGAAGCCGAGCCAGTGGAGCAGCGCAGGCTGTTGCACAGGTCATGTCCTCTGGACTAACTAGTGCACCGCATAGCCGAGAAAAAAATTGGGGGGGAGAGAGAGAGAGAGAGAGAGAGAGAGAGAGAGAGAGAGAGAGAGAGAGAGAGAGAGAGAGAGAGAGAGAGAGAGAGAGAGAGAGAGAGAGAGAGAGAGAGAGAGAAGAGAGAGAGAGAGAGAGCAGAGAGAGAGAGAGAGAGAGAGAGAGAGAGAGAGAGACAGAGAGAGACAGAGAGAGAGAGAGAGACAGAGAGAGACAGAGAGAGACAGAGAGAGACAGAGAGAGACAGAGAGAGACAGAGAGCCTAGTCGAGCAGAGCTTGTTACTTGCCATCAAGTGTTCGACCCAAATCAGGCGTGCACAGAATGGACTACAATAGCAGGGCTGACCTGGAAGGAAGTATGCGACGAAGTGAAGCGTTGGCAGCACGTGATATTATCACGCTGATGTTGGACACACGTGAACTGATGAGGGCCCGGTTGTCGGACTTCTACGCAAACTTTGGCCAAGAACTCTAGCAATGCGAAATGTCTTCTTCTATGCATAAGCATCGTGAATTAGGCCAATCGGTTGGACGTGCCCGTCGAGGCTTTGCAAGCCTTCCACGAACTCATTGACGGCTTTCTGCACTTTCACTCAGAATTTTTCAAGGCGTCAGCCCCGCTTGGATGTTTGGCCTGGCCTAGATACGCAAGTAAAACCGTGCGAGGCGGGTGGTCGGAGTGGCAAGGGAGCCCTCTGGATAAAAGGTCGGCAAAAAGAATCTAAGGCGCGGCAAGCCTGGGCCAAGAAGGAAAAGCGCGCCGAGTGTCTCGTGTATGGAAGGGCTCGTGCGAGCACATGCATGTAGAGGCAAAACGCCGCAAGAAAGGAAAGGAAAATGATGCGAGGATTGCCTGCGGCAGAAATGGAAAGAACAAGAGAAGACATCGGCGGAGGCGAGGGTGCGAGTGCCGGGGAATGAACTCCTTCTAGGGTAGCCTGTGCGAGAAGGCTGCTGCCAAGCTGCGAACTTGCGCGTGAACGAGGCGAAGTGCAAGCGGGACTACGGCTTCAAGCACAAGCGAAAAGCGGAAAAGAAGAAGATCAGGCGTGGATCGGTATGACTGAATTTGGGGATTCTGCAGACTGTTGTTGTTAGTTTTTTGTCGGGGGGAGGCTGTATGTATCTTCTGTAGCAGTATGGATGCACACGCGGCCCCAGCACCCTTGTGCAGGGGGCTGCATACACATTGAAGTTGCCCAGCCGCCCGAAACTCCCCAAACCCCACCAATGTAACCCTAAACCTCGAATCGCAGACACGACGCCGGGCACCGCTTCGGTACATCCTTAGGGATTGACGAAGCCCTTAAGCTCTACAGGCCGGGCATTCTAAAGACTCGGCCTTGAATTCGGGTTTAGGGTTTAGGAAGTTTAGGGTTAGGGTTTAGGGTTTAGGTTTTAAGGTTTTAAGGTTTAGGGTGAGACCTCCAACTGGAGGACCCGGGCGAGTACGAGATGGGCGACTTGTCAAAGGACGTTCTCGCACCCCCTGAGGGGTGTACCTTGGAGGTTCATGAGCACTTATAACCCCAATTATATAACTGCACTTATGAACCCCCGAAGTCCCCTAAGTAGGTTGTAGGCAGACTCATAAGTGGGGTTCTATAACCCCAATACCTGCACTTATGAACCCAGGAAGTCCCCTAAGTAGGTCATAGGTAGACTTATAAGTGGGGTTAGAAGTACCCATGAACCTCCAAGTAGGGGAAGTCTAGGGTGGGGTCGGGGATATCAGGGATGTGGGGTTCAGGGGTTTAGGGTTTAGGGTTTTGGGGTTTAGGGTTTTGGCTTTGAGGGTGTTGAGGGCCTGCGTTTTATCTATACACCTGAAGCTTTACCCCGCTCTCCCTTCCTCCCCCCACCCTGCCTCCAAACCGCAAACGCTACACCCTAGCCCTAAACCCTAAACCCTAGCCCTAAACCCTAAACTCCTCAGAGGAACTCACGCCCAAGAGGCACCCATGGTGTTTTTCTTGTACCTTGGGCTTCGGGTTTACCTCACACACCCTAAACCCTACGCCCTAAACCCTAAACCCTAAACCCTAACCCTAAACCCTAGACCCTGAACCCTAAACCCTAAACCCTAAACCCTACGCCCTGAACCCAAACCTTATGCCCTGAACCCTGAACCCTAAACCCCAGACTTTGCCAGGAGATCGATCGCCGTGTGAAAGTCGTCGTGGCGGACTTCTGTGGCAAGGCCCTGTGCCGGTGCAGGGAGGGGGGTTTGGGGTTTGTGGTTTGGGGTTTAGGGTGTCGGGTTCTCCATCCCGTGACAAACTTCAAGCCCATATAAATAAAGGCTACTGGGAGGTTCATGGCAAAAACTGTACTTATGACTGGGGTAGGGGGTGGGTACACTTCCTAGTGGTTCCCTAGACTTGGATCTAAACGCCTCAGGCCTCCGGCCTCGGCGGATTAGGGTTCTTGGGCTGTTCTACAACCCACAACCCAAAACCCGAAGGGGTGGACTCCAGGCCCATGGGCGTTAGGGTTTAGGGCTTAGGCTTTGGGGTTTAGGGGGTTTAGGGTTCGGGGTTTAGGGCGGGAGAGATGGACTTCAGCTTGTAGGGACCAGGTCAGGGTGTTCAGTGTGTTTGAACTCATGGTGTACTTGAGGAACCAGGGCCTGTAAGGGCTTGGGGGGTTTAGGGTTTATGGGTTTAGGGTTTAGGGTTTAGGGTTTTGGGGGGTGTGGTGTACGCCCACCCATTTGATGCTCGGGGGTTGAGGCAGCCCTCCACCCTGGACTAAAAAAAGAGTCAGCTTGCAGTTAGTACCTCCTTGGAGGAACCAAACCCTGGGGTGAAAGGATTTAGGGTTCAGGTTTGAGGGTTTAGGATTTAGGGTTTAGGGTTTAGGGTTTAGGGTAAGCCCTCTACAGGTTAGATCATGTCCAGGGTCCTTTGTTTCTGTGGCTTCCATTTGGGCAGAGGAGACCTACGAACCTGGTGACCTCACGCGAGAGGCGGGGGCTGCTGGCTATGGGTTTCGGGTTCAAGGCCCAATAACTAGGATAGGGTTTAGGGTTTAGGGTTTAGGGTTTAGGGTTTAGGGTTTAGGGTTCAGGGTTAGGGTTTAGGGTTCAAGGCCCAAGAACTAGGACAGGGTTTTGGGAAGATTATGGCTTCATTATATAGGGACCATGAAGGAGTACTGCTAGTAATGATTTCGACCCGTATATTCCACCTTTCCAGTTCCTGTGCGACTTGTACATGGCTTTCGAGGTCGGGGTGTTGTTAATGTGATACAATACTCCCTAAGCCCTAAACCCTAAACCCTAAACCCTAAACCCTAAACCCTAAACCCTAAACCCTAAACCCTAAACCCTAAACCCTAAACCAAACTTTCAGGAGGAAGGCAGTCGCCTACGATCACAGAAAATCAGACCTAGCCATGGAGAATGCGGCTTCGGATCTGGGTTCTTATAGTTTAGGGTTTAGGGTTTAGGGTATAGAGGATTTAGGGTTTTGGGTTTTGGGTTTAGGGGTCAGGGGCACCACCACACCCATTCGTCTTCTCTTGAGTTTGGGGCTTTAGGGCTTCTTGGCCTTGAGCCTTAAACCCTGGAGACAAGCAAGGCTTGTAAAGGCCGGTGGCCTCGTCTTTATCTGTTAGCCTGATACCGCAATATAGCCCCTAGACCCTTCTTAAAGAGACCACCAACCAATATAAAGCAAGGCACACATCAAGCGAAAAGCCGTCTCCATGTGACTGCTTGATCACGCGCCACCGCTTCCCGAAGCTTGAGAAGCTAGCAGCTTTGCAACCTCTTTCGGATTTAGGGTCGTAGGGTTGTAGGGTTGTAGGGTTGTAGGGTTGGTTGTTTGGTGGCCTTTAGGGCTTGGACTACGTGGGGCTTGGGGCTTTAGGGCTCTGGGGTCTAAGGTTACTCTTGGGTCTAGCTGCTGTAGCGTGGAACGGAAATTTGAAAGCACAGCTTGAGGAATACGAGTCCTGAGAGTTCGTTTGATTATATACATATATATATATATGTATATGCATATTTATATATACATATATATATATATATATATTCACAGACATATATATATATATGCATTTTAGCTTTCACAGTTCCTTATTGAAGGGCTCTTTTGCGGGAATCAGAGCAGGTCCAGCGCCGGGTGTCGAACACGGTGGCGGACTTCACCGGTAAGGAGGGCGGCTCGACCAGGGTTGAGGGTTTATAGGATATAAAGGGTTTAGGATTTAAAGGGTTTAGGGTTTAGGGTTTAGGGTGCAGGGTTTAGGGTTTAGGGTTTAGGGTTTGGGGTTTAGGGTTTAGGGTTTAGGGTTTAGGGTTTAGGGTCTGGGTGTTTGGAGGTCAAAGCTCTCTACTGCAGGGTTTAGAGTTTAGGGTTTAGGCTTGACAGGGTTCAGGGCATGTGGCGCATGTTGTGTACACTTGTGTGAGTGAAGGCACAGGGTAGGAAGCAAGCAGAATTTCCGATGCCTCTTCTGAAGCCCAGCCTCAAGCCCTTAAGCCCGAAACCTCAAGCGCAAATCACAACCCCCCCCGTCTCTCCGGAAACCCTAAATCCTAAACCATCCTATAGAAAGCCTTGCAAGATTACACCTTCGGCGACATCACGAGAGAGCTGAACAATCGCCGAACAGAGTGGATGAAGAGCTACCTTGGCAAGGATGCTTACCCCAAACCCCAAACCCTAAACCCTAAACCCCAAACCCTAAACCCCAAACCCTAAACCCTAAACCCTAAACCCCAAATCCTAAACCCTAAACCCTAAACCCCAAACCCTAAACTCCAAACCCAGTGTAGGGTTGAGGGCTCCGAGACTCCAAGTATGCAAATTGTCTTTTTATCTGGGGCTGTGTAAAGTAAGGGTGGAGGGTTTAGGGTTTGGGTTTAGGGTTTAGGGTTCAGGGTTTAGGGTGGAGGGTTGAAGGTTTGGGCTTAGGGTTCGGGTTTAGGGTTCGGGTTCAAGATCAGGGCTCTAGGGCTCGGCATGTCAGGCTCAGCAACACGACACCATAATCCAAAGAGACCTCAAACCTACGAGTCCCAAGTCCCAAGATCCAAGCCCTAAACCCCCAATTGAAGCGAAGCCTTGGATCCGACTCCCTTCCAAAAAACCTGAACCATAGAGAGCCATAGATCCATATACCGGCATATGGTCTAGGGTACTGAGACACAACCGGGACGACTGCAGCCTCGACTTTGGGGATCACCCAGAATGGTTTCTGGGCCCTTTCAAAGGCCTCAATACAACTCCCAACCCCTACGCCCCTAAACCCTAAACCCTACACCCCACACCCTACACCCTCACCCCTAAACCCTAGAACCCGAATCCCATACTTCTCCAGGAGGGCTACCAGTTTGGTGACATCACAAAGAAGTTTATCACCGACTTCACAGGGCCTTTCGGTTGCCATGTTTGGGTCTTCCAGATTCCAGCTTGCGGGCGACTGGTTTAGGGTTTAGGGCTTATAGGGGTTTAGGGTGTATGGCTTCGAGCTCTGAATTTGGGTAGTTCTCTAAATTAAGGGTCCCTTCTGTTTGTTTTGTCTAAGGGTACCGTACTTTATAGAAGACCCAAAAAGGGACCGCAATTCAGAGAATGACTCTCATGTTTGTTTTCTGGGTTTATGGGCGTAAGGTTCATGATCATCACGGTTTTGTAGGGTTTTATAGTGTTGGTTTAACAGGGTTTATGGGCTTAAGGTCTATGATCCTACTGCTTATGTGGCTTGTTGTAAACGGTTTGTAATAGGCTTTCAGCGCTTGTATTGGCTGTTTTTGTGACTGGGTTTCTTCGGGTGTTATAGGGTTTGAGCGTACAAGTTTCTATGGCTTGTGGGGCTTAGGGCGCTTAGGACAGGGAGGGTATGGGTTGAGGGTACGGTACAGTAGGGCGGGTGAATAGGGTTTGCGAGAGGCTGAGGGGGTCTAGGGTAAAAGGCATTGAGGCTTGGGGCGCTTTTAAGGCCTTGGCTTAAGTTTAGATGCTTTCGGGCTTCGCATCTGTTCAGGCTTTAGGGCTTACAGCGGTTTGAAAATGGGGTTTTGAGCTTGGGGTTCGGGCTTAGGGTTTGGGATTCGGGGTTTAGGCGTTTCTTTAGGGGCTTCAATGCAGCTGGGCATTCGGCTGGACCTTCTGTGATCCATTCTTCAGTCTTCCCCTTGTTTTTCCTTATAGACCTCATGAGGAACAACTCACAGGGGGCGTTTCTTCCTCGGATACAACTGGGACCTAGACTTACAGCACCCAAAAAGGCCCCAAAACCCCAAACTCTGCACCCTATAGCAGCTCTCGGGCCTATACGCGCAGGAGCCTAAACCCTTGGCCACAAACTTACTCTGAGGGTCCATGTACCTTGTTAGTATATACGTGGGCCCCAAAGTCTGTAGGAAGTGCTTCAAGGCCTAAGTATTCCCTATTTAGGTACATGGACCCTCAGGGTACCCTAAACCCTAAACCCTAAACCCTAAACCCTAAACCCTAAACCCTAAACCCTAAACCCAAAACCCTAAACTAGCTCAGGTACCGTATACCCTTAAGCCCTATCGGCTTCAAAGGAAGGAGGACTACCAGTTTGGTGACATCACAAAGAAAGTGCTGTCGGACTTCACGGGCAAAGAGGACTTCACGCTTCTTCGACGTGAAGTTACCTAGGTTTAGGGTCTGGGTTTTAGGGTTTAGGGTTTAGGGTTTAAGAGTTTAGGCTGCAGATAGGGCCTTAGAGTTTAGGGCCTTGGGGTCCACGGCCTAGGGGTTGCATGATTTCCTTGCTGAATTCTGACGGGTAACCCTACACCCGAAACCCTGAACCCTAAACCGGGTACTGTGCCTTGCGCGGCCCCTGAAGGTTTTCTAGTTCCCTATTTCCTTTCTGAGAACAAATACCTAGACTCTGAATTGTCGCTGGGCACCTTTTCTTGGATGGGTTAGGTGCAGTACCCTACATGTAATAAAAGGAGCGACAAGACTCCAAACCCTAAACCCTAAAACCCTAGAAAAGCCCAATCAAGCCTGTGAAGCCCGTAAACCCTAAACCCGAAACCCGAAACCCTGAACCCTGAACCCTAAACCCTCAACCCTAAACCCGAAACCCTGACCCTAAACCTTAAACCCTAAAGCCCGAAACCCTCGAAGCCCCTCAAACCTCAGCCCTAGACCCTAGCCCTAAACCCTAAACATCCCTAAACCCTAAGCCCTCAAGCCTGAACCCTGAACCCTAAGCCCGAAACCCTAAGCCCTAAACGCTAAACCCAAAGTTCTCCAAGCCCCAACAAACTCAAGGCTGGGTGATGTGGGCCAAGCCATTGGCGACAAGCTCTTCGGCAACAAGCCGACGAAGAAGTGACCAGAGCTTTGGAGGTTTAGGTTTGAGCGTTTTAGGGTGTTGGCGTTGTGGGGTTACAGGGATTCAAGGTTTAGGGTTTTAGGGCTTTTGGTTTTAGATTTTAGGGTTTTAGGGTGTTGGGGTTGTGGGGTTTCAGGGTTTCAGGGGCCACGTCGCAAGAACCCTGAGCCATGCTACATGGTTCTTTTGCCTCAACCCTGAACCCTACATCCATAAATCGATGAATAGTGCTACAAGTGGACCCGAATGAAAGTACCGCCCGGAGCTTCCCGAGCTGCACCCCCCCGTTCCAAACTCTAAACTGGCCCTAAACCCTAAACCCTAAACCCTAAACCCTAAACCCCACTGATGACTAGCCATGAACAGTGTGTTCCCAGTCTCTTGAGCGCAAGCCACTGCGCAGAACTTTTTATGCTGAAGCGGACGCTCACGGGCCTAGGTTCACAGGGCTTACAAGGACCCGAAACCCTAAACCCTAAACCCTAAACCCTAAACCCTAAACCCTAAACCCTAAACTGGCCCTAAACCCTAAACCCTAAACCCTTTTTTGGGGCTTTAGAGCGGCTTCAGGGTTCCCTTCTGAAGCCACTTGAAGCCAAAAGGGATGCCCTTTTTAATTCCTAGCCCTAAACCCTAAACCAGGGCTTCGGGTTTGGGTACAACGCCTAGACCCTCAAAACCCCTAAGCCCTAAACCCTAAACCCTAAACCCTGAATAATTGTGATCCCGGCCTTGACGCTTAGGGGCCCCAAGCTCCTAACTGGCTTCAGGGATCTCGCATTTCGGGATGTCGGGGGGTTTAGGGTTTAGGGTTTAGGGTACTTGAGGGCTTCCCCAGCTGTGAGGCTTTTCTGGGCACCTTACAAGGACCCTTATGGTTAGGGTTTAGGGTTTAGGGTTTAGGGTTTAGGGTTTAGGGTTTAGGGTTTAGGGTTTAGGGTTTAGGGTTTAGGGTTTAGGGTTTAGGGTTTAGGGTTTAGGGTTTAGGGTTTAGGGTTTAGGGTGTGGGGGTTGGATCGGGGGTGTGTAGTAGGGTCAGCCTTATGTAGCACCAGAGGGATTGGAGACTTCCAGGGTGCGGAGGGAGGTTTAGGACTTCGACTCCTGTCGGGTTGATGGCTAGGTAGGCCCTTTTGGGAGATTCTGGTTTTTCGTTGTTGGGTTTAAGAGGAACCCTAAACCCTAAACTAGGGTTTAGGGTGTAGGGTTTAGGGTTTAGGGTTTAGGGCTCCAGATAGGATGAAGACCCTTTAGACCTTGACCCTTTGCTTGTGGGCGTGTTGGCGAAGCACATCATGAGTCGCATCGACCATGGCTACAGAAGGGCGCGAAGCCAGAGCTGAACCAAAAGCGCGCACGCAATCATGAGGCTTCCATTTCCGAAATATGGTGTTTAGGGTTTAGGGTTTAGGGTTTAGGGTTTCGGTTTGGGGGGCAGCCTACAACCCCACAAATCCTTAAGAGTCCTGTAACCGTTTCTGCACCCCAAGACAGGGCCCCTAGGGTCCACCCTGATTCCCCCAGGGGGGGGGGGGGGGGTAGGTTCCCTTCTAGACCCCTTTAAGCAAGAAAGGCCATCCTAAAGCCTAACCCTAAACCCGAAACCCTAAACCCTAAACCCTAAACCTCTAATCCCAGGTTACTGGGCAACCTTGCCTTTCATGTGCGCTGCAGCATGCTCGCAGCCTTGCCCACGACAACCCCAGCGCCCGCTTGCAGCCTCCCTGAACCTTTGCACTACTCTGGGCAAAGGCTTAAGGCTTATAGGGCTTAGGGTTTAGGGTTTAGGGTTTACGGTGTAAGGTTTAGGCTCACGTTTTCTCTGCCCGGGATGCCAGGCCCTACAGCCCAAACCCAAAAACTTGCAGACCCCAAACTCCCATATAGACTCTGAGCGGAGGTTTCTCTTGCTTTGTTCCCTTATAAGCCCCAGTTAAGCAAAAAAGGGTACGCTTGTTATTCCTAGGTTATTTTTGGGTCGCCCTAAATCCCAAACCCCAAACCCTCACCCTAAACCCCAAACCCTAAACCCTAAACTGGGTCTAGACACTTATTGCCCTGGTTCATGGGTCCAATTTGTCCTCTTTCTTGTGCTCACGCCTAGAAGGCATCGGGGGGAGACAATCCACCCATAGGTTTAGGGCTTAAGGGCTTGGGGGTGAAGGGTTCAGGAGAACCCCAAACCCTAAAACCCTAAACCCCAAAACCCAAAAACCTAAACTCTAAACCGTAAACCCTAAACCCGAAACCCTAAACCCTAAACCCTAAACCCTAGGTTTCCTTTGACCTTGGGTTTCGGGTGGCATCTGTCAGTCAGCTCCCAATCCTCATCCATCAATCTGCTGGCCCACGCGCAGGTTACCAAGGACAGCGCTGAGACGCTCTCCCTGGCCGATGACATCTACATCGAGGATCTTGTGTTTGGGGCCTTGGGGGTTTAGGGTTTAGGGTTGAGTTGGTTTGGGGCCTTGGGGGTTTAGGGTTTAGGGTTTAGGGGTTTGGGGTTTAGGGTTTGGGGGGGTTGAAAGGTGCACTTGGAAGACAAGTGGCACCCTTTTGCACTTGGTTGGTCCAAGGCTCCCTTATAAAGGAAGCCACCCAAAAAACAAGGGTCCCCTTTTTGCAGTATGGTTGCAGGGCTGCCATGTGGAGGGCTGAGGGCACTGATCCCTAAGGGTCTACATTACACCCGGCCCCCGCCTGGTTGGGCCGTTCCCACACATGACCAGATGGCTTGCTCGGGAGAGCACTATCCAAAGCTGTGGCACCGCAACTGCCGCAGCCACTCATCCGGGTCGAAAGGATGGGAAACGCAACGTTGCAGAGAGGCGAACACGAACTGCAGCCCTATAGAACTGAAAGTGTACACTTTTGGGGGGGGGGGGGGGGGGGGCACTCAGCAACTAAGGAAGGGAGAGGTGGTGGTCTAGGCTAGGGCGGCCCCCCTGAGCCCTAGACCCTAGACCCTAGACCCTAAATCCTAAGCCCTAAACCCTAAACCCTAAACCCTAAACCCTGAACCCTGAACCCTAAACCCTAAACCCTAACCCTAAACCTGTAGGGTTTGGGGGTTTTGGGCTTTTTTTGCCGGTCCATGCGCAGTTGCCGAAGGGTTAGCAGCTCCAATCGCAGGAGCTCCGAAAGACGGGGCACTATGACAAGATCGGCCAGGCAAGGGGGAGGAAGAGGGGCTTGCTGTTTAGGGTTTAAGGTTTAGGGTTTAGGGTTTAGGGTTGAGGGTTTATAGGGTTTAGAGTTTAGGGTTTAGGGTCTAGGGTCATTCCTTCCTGTGGGTTTTGAGCACCTGACAGTCTTCCCTAGGCCCGAACCCAGCGTCTTCAAATAGTTGATTCTGTTTCTTATGAGTTCACTCTGGTGCTTTCATCCAAGAAGCCACGGTGACAAAGAGTCTGGAATCGTCGAGAGGCATGCCTAGCACAATCCTGGAGTCCTCCGGCAAGTTGGGGTAGCTAATCCCTAAACCCTAAACCCTAAACCCTAAACCCTAAACCCTAAACCCTAAACCCTAAACCCTAAACCCTAAACCCTAAACCCTAAACCCTAACCCTAAACCCTAAACCCTAAACCCTAAACCCTAAACCCTAAACCCTGCGCATGCCAACCCCTCGGAGTCCCTGATACTTTTGGTTGCACCACATGCGCGGCGCGCCTAAGGCCCCGAAGGCTTTGGGACAACCTAACCCTAAGGGTCCATGTACCTAACTAGGGTTTAGGGTTTAGGGTTTAGGGTCCCCTATGGGTCCGTGTGCCTAAATAGGGAATACTTGGGCCTCAAAGTACTTCCTATATAGGGACTTTGGGGCCACAAGTATATAAGAATACGATACATGGACCCTCAGGGTAAGGCCCCAAGCACGTGTGGGCCCAGAAACCTCACCCTCCCAGTATCCTTACGAGGATACACTACCCGGCCTTCTTACGGGGCGCGTACCCAAGCCTCAAGAGCCCAAAACACTGTGCTCGAAACCTGCTTGCAAAACCGGAACCCTAACCGTCCTGCCAGTCATCAGTAGATGTATGTGGGGAGGTTCAACTTAGGGTTTAGTGTTTAGGATTAGGGTTTAGGGTATACGAAGCCTCCCTAGCTGGTCTCGTAAGGGTTGGACGCTTCTACCCGAAACCCGAAACCCTAAACCCATAAAACCCTTAACCGTAAAAACAAGACGCGAAGGCTTTCGCAGTGCTTTTGCCGACCGTGCGCTCTGTGGGCGTCATGGGCGACCACAGGCCGCCTTGGGGGGTTTAAGGCTCTTGAAGTTCAGGGTTTGAAGGGTTTAGGGTTTAGGGTTTAAGTAGCGGATTTCGGGTTTTTTGTTTAGTTTAGGCTCCACGGTGAAGGGGTATGGTTTTGCGAACTTCACAGCCCGAGTTTTCCTACTTTGTGTTTTCTTTCGAGACCAGAGTTGAGGAATGAGGGGCGGTTGGGGTTAAGGGGTGAGGGATTCCCAGTGGTTCTCTCTTTTCAAAGGTTCAACTTCATACAAATAAATTTGTCGTATATATGTATATATATATATATATGCACGTAGTCTACATATATCTGTATAGAGATATATATATATATATACATTTACATACATACGCGTTTAGTCGGGGGATTGGGGGGGGGGGGGGGGGGTTGCCTGGGCAAATGAGAACCACACCCCGTGGAGGTGTTCCCTGCTTATGCCTTGTCTGACGTGAACCTGGTCCAGAGTCTGGGGTTCAAGTAGGGGACTTTCCATTGCATAAGGGTTTAGGGTTGAGGGTTTAGGGTTTATGGGTTTAGGGTTTAGGATATGTCCATGATTCTGCTATGAGTGGACCTTTTGGGAAAGTTTTAGGTTTAGATGTTTTCTAAGGGTTTGTAAGGTTTCTAAGGCTTAGAGCCCTATGGTCCGGCTGGTTTTTAGTAGGGAATGAGGGAAGGAGGTACCCTATGTAATCCCTGAAAAGGGTATATGGGGCCCCATTCCCTCATTCCCTACTAAGAACCAGGGGGTGGTTTGGGGTGTTGGTCTACACCCTAAACCCTAAACCCTAAACCCTAAACCGTAAACCCTAAACCCTACAGGACATACGAGAACGTCTGCGTGCTGAGAGCAGTGACGACCACCGACTTCATGACAGCAGCGAGCTCAGCCTTGGCATCCCCCTGAGCTCCAGGGCTTTAGGGTTTAGGGTTTAGGGCTTAGGGTTTGGGATTTAGGGCTTAGGGTTTCGGGTTTTAGGGTTTAGGGTATGGGGTTTAGGGTTTCGGGTTTGGAGTTTGGAGTTTAGGGCTCACTAGGCAGCGGGTCCATGTAGCTTAATCCTATAGTTGGGCCCCAACGTCCCTTTTTTACAGGAAGTAGTTCAAGGCCCAAGTATTCCCTCTCTAGGTAATTACATGGACCCTTAGCGTTCGGAACCCTAAACGTCTGGGCAGGGCAGCGCAGGAATGGATCAAGAACGAGTCCAGTTCCCGCTGACCCTCAATCCCAAGACTTTCCGAAAGCCTAAAAACCCTGAATCCTGTCAGACGGTGTCAGACTCGCACCCACCCCGGTTTAGGGTTTATGGTTTAGGGTTTAGGGTTTATGGTTTAGGGTTTAGGGTTAGGGTTTAGGATTTAGGATTTAGGATTTAGGGTTTAGGGTTTAGGGTTCAGGGTTTAGGGTTTAGGGTTTAGGGTTTAGGGTTTAGGGTTTTGCGTGCAGCTATCAAGCTTTGAGGCGGATTGGTACGACATGCCTCACGATGTGCTGGCGCGCATCTCCAATCGTATCATCAATGAGGCCAGAGGGTTACATGCAGGCTTAAAGTTGTGCAGGGCAAAGGGTTTATAAGGGTTTGAAGGGTTTCGGCACAGATGTCCAGCAAGGTACGAGCCTGTGTACGTAGGGTCCGATGTTTCGATTTGAGTGGCTGCTGAAGGTATCGAAGACCATTGGCTTCCTTGGCCCTTGCGCGTAGTTTGTAGAAATTTCAAATAGGAAGAAAGCTGAGGGGTGAGGAATAAGATAGTTCATCCGTGTCTTCGCTTCACTGACGTGAGCAATAATGGTGTTGGGATTTTCGTTGCGGGCAGTTTCCTTTACCATCTAAGGGTCCATGTACCTCATTATTACATCTTGGGCCCCAGAGTTCCTCCATAGGAAGTAATTACTTTAAGGCCCAGGTTTTCCCTATTTAGGTACCCTAAACCCTAGCCCTACACCCTGTACCCTAAACCCTGGTACATGGACCCTTAGGGTTATGAAGCATCCAGGTGAAGGGTATCAACCGAGTCTGCTACGACGTCTCCTCGAAGCCTCCCGCTACGATTGAGCCCGGCCCTCAGACACTTTTTGGTAGGGTTTAGGGTTCAGGGTTGAGGGTTGAGGGTTGAGGGTTGAGGGTTGAGGGTTGAGGGTTTTGTGCGGCTGCGTAAGGTGAGGCAGTCTGGATGTTCCCCCTTTTACGAACAGTCCTTAATGGGGCATCCCAAAGAGGCCAGTCCAATCCCTACTAATTACCCAGCTGGATCCGCAAGTCCTTACTCAATGATACCGTGAAATCAGAGCGGCCCTATCGTTCGGATGACTTCGTACTGTCTGGTGCTATGGCTGCATCCGCCTGCTCACTCAAAAAGGGTTTAGGGTTTAGGGTAAAGAAAGCTTCAGATGCGTGCGCAAACTTGTAAGGTCGGCGCAGGCTAGCGCTTTGCATCTTGCAGCTCAGGGGAGGTTCATATTCATCTTGTGGCAGTGTTTGGGTCCCTGGCTGCAGGCCTCTGACTCAATCTCCCTAAGCTCTAAGCCCTAAGCCCTAAACCCTTGAACTTAGTAGCTGAGCGAGTACACTGTACACTTGTTGGGATACTAAACCCCCCCTATAGAACTGAAAGTGTGCACCTCTGGGGGGGGGGGGGGGGGCTTATGAACTCAGCAACCAAGTGCACTCTTGTGCTCGCACTGAGGAGCTTAGTCATCATGCAGCGCCCATGCAAGCCCTTTCAGGGTCAAGTTGGGGTAAGCGCTCCTGTTTATTCGAAACCCTCGGGGTCCATGTACCTAATTGGGGAATACTGGGCCTCAAAGTATTTCCTATATAGGGACTCAGGGGCCCAAGTCTACGATATTGAGGCGCATGGACTTTTAGGGAAAAGTAGGGTGCCTACTGAGTCCCATTACAGGGTGTGGCCTCGGTGATACAAGTCGCCTAACTCCCCCATTCCCGGTTAAGACTGCTAATCATGTCGTGTTGCTGCACGAGGGTTGAGAGGACCCCAAGACAGCGCTGTTTCCATATACAGCACCCTGAACCCTAAATCCTAGACCCTAAACCCTCAACCCTAAACCCAAAACGAGAACCTTGAGTGCACCCCCAAATGCTCCCTGAAACCCAGGAGACGAAGCACTACGGGGTAGCATGCTAGGGCTCCAAACATTCCAGAGTTCAGGAGATCCAAAACAGCTTTTGATATCCAGGTAGAAATGACGAACGCTCAAAAGACCAAGCCGACAACGCTGAATCTCCAACGCTTCTGATATCCCCCCTACCCTAAACCCTAAACCCTAAACCCTAAATCCTCCGCTGCTCAGGTGGGAGTAGATGTCCTTTGGGTTTCACTCGCCTGAAAGATGGGCACTCCAAGGCATCTTTCGGGGGAGAGCTTGAGGATGGAGGGCGTTGGTTCTTAGAAGGGAATGGAACCCTAAACCCTAAAGCGCGGCTTGCAACCTTTCAGGGATTTGTTGGGGTGCCTACATCCTTCATGGCCTACGAACCAGTAAGGTAGGGTTTACACATATGGTTATGCTTCGGGCTTTGCATCGGTGGCTTTTTTTCTTATGAGGTTTAAAACAAGAGGTATGAGATATCGGGATTGTCCATGGGGTTTGGCATTCATCTTAGGGTGTCACAGTGCTGATGTATCTTAGGCATTCACCAAATTCCTTCATTCCCTAAACCCTAAACCCGAAACCCTAGACCCTAGACCCAACCCTAAACCCTAAACTCTAAACCCTAAACCCCCGTACTAAGAACCAGCCAGGTTGCGGCCATTTGTTGCGGGCGCCTCAGTTTCTGCTTGGGTTGGCGACCTCCAAAGCTCCAGAAATTTAGGGTTTAGGCTTTTAGGGTTTAGGGTTTAGGATTTAGGGTCATACCTTATGCTTTTAGGGTTTAGGGTTTAGGATTTAGGGTCATACCTTATTCTTTTCCTCTGAAGGACCACTTGGCCATGTGAATAGAATGCATGTGTATTCGTCTCCTGCACAGAGCTTCAGAACTTCGATTTGCCCATCTGGCCCTTTCCGACATCCCTTAGAAATGATTTGAAATTATTTGTGTACTGTAGTTCCCAAGAAACAGCTAACATTATAGTTTTTGCTAGGGTTCGAAGTTCAGTATAGATCCCCTAAAGCTTGTAAACCCCTGAGCCAGATCTTTGAAAACCTCGTTTTGGGAGGTAAGAGCGTCTGACCGTCTCACTGCCTGACGGACTGTTCTCCGGCTCGCATCAGATTCTCTAAGCCGTTGCCTGATAGCCGCCTTTGGCTGTCTCTTCTCTCCTAGCACCTGACTTTCTCATAAAGGGTTCTGGGTGTAGGGTTTAGGGTTTGCGGCTCAGAAGATGTCCAGGGGCCAACATTTCAGCCTCAGAAACGCTCTTTACAATGCCTCGTTGCTAGTCGTTTGTTTGGTTCTGGGGCGAGCTTAAAGCACGCTTCATCTTCGGGTTTAGGGCTTAGGATTTTAGGGTTCAGGGTCTAGGGTTTAGGGATCGTATATACAGGGATGGTGAGTGTATAGTTGAGGTCATTGGGGGCCTACCTCGGGCTGTCAGAGGGTTGGAAAGGCTAGAAATTTCCCTACACGGAACCCTAAACCCTAAACCCTAAACCCAAACCACAAACCCTACACCCGGAACCCTAAACCCCTGAACGCGCATGTTAGACCCTGCATCCATATTTTGGACTTTAGGAAGATAGGGAAGCCCCAAGATAGATCCCCAACAAGTAGGATTTCTTCAAAACAGGACCCCAATAAGGTACCCCTAGTTTCGGAAACCTCCATATTCCTAAACCCTAAACCCTAAACCCTAAACCCTTCCAAGGCTCATGCAGTGCCAGACCGCAGGAAAATCTGACCCGACGCAGCGGCTTGAGGAGCCGTTTGCGGTTCGTAAAGGCGCCCGCGTCCCGAAACAAAGCTTTCTTAGGGTTTAGGTTCCCTTATAAGCCCCTCTTCAAGCTAAAGAAGGGCAGTCTTGGGTCACCCTAAACCCCAAACCCCAAACCCCAAACCCCAAACCCCAAACCCCAAACCCCAAACCCCAAACCCCAAACCCCAAACCCCAAACCCCAAACCCTAAACCCTAAACCCTAAACCCTAAACCCTAAACCCTAAACCCTAAACCCTAAACCCTAAACCCTAACTAGTGGCAGGACCAGGTCAGCCGTGAGCGAGTGCACCGGAGCTTTAATAGTGGGACCACCACAGAGCAAAACATTGCAAATACGACCTCAACTACAGCGTTGCAGTGGGCTACAGCCCTTGTAGTGAGTCCCCCGACGCCTCTTCAGATTGTAGAGGAATGTGTTTCGGGAAGCGTTCCGCCGCCATTTGTCTAAGGAAGAGCGTGCAACGCAGAAGCTGCGAAACTGCGAAGACCGAACTTTTGTCTCGTGTACTGAATACCATCTAGCCCTTCGCGGGCGGAACGAATGGCCCAATGTAGCATAGATGCAACAGAAAAAGATGTGATGTTTTTTCCGTAAGGGTCCACGTACCTAGATAGGGAATACTTGGGCCTTAAAGTACTTCCTATTTAGGGACTGTGTGGCCCAAGTATAGAAGAACAAGGTCGTGCTAAACGCTGTAACCCCCTAAAATCCTCTACCCCATTGCGAGTCAAGCACGAGCTGCCAAGATGCAAGCCTTGATCTTGCGGCGGTAGAGCCCGAAACCCGGTACTCCCCCTAACCCCGAAACCCAAACAACGCTGGTTTAGGGTTTAGGGTTTAGGGTTTAGGGTTTAGGGTTTAGGGTTTAGGGCTCGTGCAAAAAGATAAGGTTAAGTTGTGAGCATGAAGACCTGGAGTAGGCCCTTCTTCCCTCTTCTTAGGGTTTAGGTTCCCTTGCAAGGCCTTTCTAAGCCAAGAAGGGTGCTCTTTTTCTTCCTCGGTTACTCTTGGGTCGCTCTAAACCCTAAACCCTAAACCCTAAACCCTAAACCCTAAACCTCTTCAGGAAGCTGGAGACCCTAACTCGGGTAAGCCCAAGTGTGGAAGACAAAGAAGAAGTCTCTCGTGAGGCATCCCCACCCTCCCCATCCAACACAGACCACTTCCTAAACCCTTAATCCTCAACCCTAAATCCTAAACCCTAAACGCTGAACTGGGTTTTGGTGTACTAGACTTTGATTATTTTTTGGGTTCTGGGTTCTTAGTTTTGCTACTTATACCTTTTTCAATGTATACTTTAATCCAGGGTCTACTCCAAAGTAGGGTTAATGCTGTTTGCAAAGATCCGTTGCGCCAAAGTCTAAAACCCCTGAACTGCTATCAGTCAAGCAAGCGGTTGCACGTCTGCATGGCTTCCCAAAACCTCTTGGGTGCTGACTCTCAGAGAGCCAGTATTTTCCAATCTTTTGGTCATAGACATGCCTCCCATCGCCAGAAGGACTTCTTGCGTGGGCCGAAGGGCCCAACCTGCAGACATTCCCACCCTAAACCCTAAACCCTAAACCCTAAACCCTAAACCCCACTGTTGCTTCTCTTGGAGTAGCCAGTCTTGTTAGCCCAGTGGTACCCTTTAGGAAGCAGAAACTTTTTCGGGGCTCATTTGGTCCTTAAGCTGTGTCTTGTCTTGTTATGCATGTTTTTTTGTTGGCACATGCGTGGTAGTACAGGTAGTACAGGAATGTGTCAATGTCGTCTGGACGGTGTTGTGGCAGTAGTGGTGCTGTCGTTGCTGATGGTGATGGT